CAAATTCTGAAGTTAAATCAATTTTTGCCGCAATTTTTTTCCAATTTTATTTTTTCGTAAAGAGTCTAAAACTTTCTCAAATGTAAAGGTAGGAACTGAGACCGCATTAAAAGTCAGATTTCGTTATTTGCTCACAGTTAATTTTGTTCAAAATTTTACATTGGTAAACATAAATATTTTCATCATTTGAAACAATTCTGTATTTTTGCTTCACTTCATGTAAACTTATTTAATCGAATTATTCTAACTTAATAAATTGAACACTCGAGGCAAGAAATGACATAAAAACCTTCAAATTTTGAAATTAAATACCCCGGTCAATTTTTGACGTACGGTAGTCAAACTCCTTATAATTTTTTTTTTTTTTCTAAACGAATATAAAAATTTCTCAAACGTAAGTATACGAACCGGAAGACCGGTTTAAAAGTTGATTTCCAGTATTTGTCCAGTTTCTTTTTATATATGAAACTGCCGAATTTTGCCATTTAAACACGTCTGTATATTTGTTGCATGTCATTTAAACTTGTTCCTTCGAATTATTCTAACTTAATCAACCAATTCCTCGAGGAAAATTGAAAATGACATCAAAAATTGCAATTTTGAAATTAAATATTTATATCGGCCAATTTCGTCATTTAAATCTCCTGTAAATGGAAGTATATGAGTACAACTAACGATTGCAAAAATGAAATCCTAGCAAGGACTCTTAGGTCAGGTACGGGAGTGGATATATATATATATATAAAACTAGGAAGTCTGGCGGTCATACGAAATGACCGCTGTTCTAGATATTATAAATTGTAATTAAAATGATTTGTGCAAAGGTGTCTGCTAATTCAAAGTGAATTACCCAGGGCAGGCGGCGAGGACGCTCCTTTGGTTACTGCCCCACGGGGTTTCCCCCTTCTACTTGCTTAATTGCTTAAGTAGAGTGCAATAAGGGAACCCACTGGCGGTACATTTCTTAAGAGCCACCGCTAGCTCAATCAGTAAAGGGGATTTAAATAATAAAATGTTATTTCACATGTCAAAAATCTCTTTCTGCACAACATTTCTTGTGTAGATCTTTTTCATCATTTTTAAGTTCGCCTTGCAGAGGACCATCCATTACTTTTAATTTTACACCCGTTCTTTCACGAACTCCTGAACAGGCAACATAAAGTTGACCGTGTCCAAATGCAGGCTGAGGTAAAAAAAATGCCAACACGCTTAAGCGTTTGGCTCTGAGACTTATGGATGGTCATAGCAAAGGCAAGTTTTACATGAAATTGTCTACGTCTCAATTGAAACGGCAACCCTGTGCCGTGGCAACTTCACCCATTGGCTAGTACAGTTACGCAAGCAACCCATAAACTATCTGCGACAAACAGACACTTAAGCCGCACATAATAAAGATATTTATTTATTTCATTTTATTTGTGTTTTCATCATTGCCGGTTGCATATTTCCGAATTCTATTATACATATAGATGTTTAATTTATTTATTAAATGTTAAATGTACGTGCTCTTGTATTTTTAATTGTTTCGGCTTAGCTTTCTCATAATATTCGTCACGCGTTGCATTGCACGGGTAATAAAACAATTTAAAGTTACGCAAGCAACCAATAAATTATCAGCGATAAACACTTAAGCCGCATGTTATATAAAATGAAAAAAGGGAAACAACGTAACAATGCTGGTAGCGTAGCACGTAGATAACGTAGGAAGTAGATTCATATTGAAGAGAAAGAATTCTGATTGCGTAGAATGCTGAATTCGTGTTGACCAGGAAACTTGGCAGCCGAATAATATTTAAATATTCATTTTTATTTCAACTGGCATATGTGGCCACAATTTACTTGTCACTCTAATCGTGCCTCTTCAAAAACATTTACAGTTTTGATACGATTGCGACAGGAAGAGAGAACGGCGAAATAGCGTCATTACAGGAAGATTATGCAGAAGCTGAAGTGCACAGTTATCCATTATGGAGGTTCACCAAGAGAAGGCTTTGGTTTAGGTTAGAAAGATTTCAGTTCTCAAAATTTTGAGTTCAATTTCCGAATGCTCTACGCCATCGGCCTTACTCAAGTCATGTGACACAGATTAATCAAAAAATGGTACAGCTGAGAAAAGTTATCACTATTTTTAGAATACAGGGAGGAAATACCCAAATTAAAAACGAGGAAATAAAAAGTTAAATTAAATTATGTAACTCATTTACATATTTTTTTCTTACACACACACACATATATATTTGGTTCCGCCAATTGCAATAAAAAAGGGAGGTGCACAACTAGGTGTTATAGCAAACCAATGTAAAAAATTTCTTCTATGGCTAATCATTTTGAGTCAATCGAGATACATACATAAGTATATAGGTACGTACATCTAGACGTCCCGAAAAAAAATATTTATAATCCTTTTTAAATCTATTTTACAAACCATTTCTGATAAAACAGTTCTTTATTCTGTCCGTACATACAGACATCACGCAAAAAAGTCGTCCAAATGGATATATCTATTAAAATGTGACACACAAAATTTTTTGATATTACCATCTTCCTTTACTTCGTACAAGTAAATAAACAGTTTTATAAAAAAAAATGACGAAATATAACTTTTTATACGTTCTCTCGTTCCTATACTTTGGAAAATTTTATAATCATCATAAAAATTATAATACAAAAATTGTGACTTCCGCACGACTAAAACTGACCAACATATTTAATTTTAATGTTCGGTATCTTATAAAAATAAAGCACGAGTTTAGGAAAATTTTGTTGATGTTACTGATGAGCATTTGCTAACGTTGATAGATTAAGTGACGAATATTTCTACGCAGATTATAGTGAAAAGTATTGATTAATATAGTGTTTTTCAAAAAAAAAAAAAAAAAAAAAAAAATCTTGTTCTTTATGAAAAACTTTTACTATCTTATTTCTAACAGAACTTGTCATTAATATGTAATGTCTTACTGCATTCACTTCAGGGATGGAATAGTTAATATATTTTGCAAAACAAATAATATTTTCTAAATGCAGATGATACGGACTAAAAAATCCAGCACTAAAAATTTCTAAATGCAGACGACTGCATGTACTCTGCATACTCTGTATGTAAACTCTTATCATGTATTTTCATTTAAAACAAAAAATTGTAACAAGAAAAGATCCCAACAAGATTTTCAAGTGCCCGAATTGTTATGTGAGTTATTGATTAGCACTGTTTGAACAAATTAGAAACAATTCGAAGTCTCTGTTTCAATATTTAATGCAAGATCTATGCAAATACATTGAAAAAAATCCAAGTGCCCGAAAATAAATTTCAGCTACTGTACACATAAAATAAAATGTGTTCAGTTTTAGCTATTTTAACTTATTTATTTCTATACACAAAATTCTAAAGCATGGTAAAGAACTGTTAAATTGACTTACTTCTCTTATTACATATTTTCAATCGGTTGCCATTTACAAAATCTAATTCTTTGCTTGCATGTAAAATCAACAGTGTTCAGTTTTAACTATTTAAACTTATTTATTTATGTACACAGAATTCTAAAGAATGCTACAGAATTGCTCAGCTGACTTACTTCTGTTTGTATCTAATTTAAATCGGTTGCCATTCAATAGTTACGAAATTCTTATTGTTATACAATACAACTAATTCTGCCTCAACAATTTTGAGCTTTTTAAAATCTCAGTATTAAATATATACAGTGGTTCCCAAAATTGTTCGTACGCTTTAAGAATTTGCAGAAAAAGCGCTGTAATCCGGAATTGAATTCGAATGTAAAGCTCAATATTTGTTCATATCATCTCCATGTGATTTTGAATAAAATAAAACAGTTTTTAATACTGACTTATTTTCTTTTTCTAAAAAAAGAAAGTATAAAAACACACACAGCATCAGAGTGAGATACTGATAAGAAGCAGAATGGTCACAAATGCTAGCAGAGTTCATGAGCTATTGAAGCTGGATCAGCATTTTTCTGCCTGAACAGTGGTGGAGGAATAGAATACTCCTTGTGAAACCATTAGAATCACTGTAACGGAAATTTTAGCTAAATGCAAAATTTGTGCAAGGTTTGCCCTTCACCACCTTCCCAGAAAAAAAAAAAAATTAACAGAGAATGAATAATCTGGCAGCTTTATTAACATGACAGATAGTCGTACCTTTTCTTTACAATCCACTGCAAATGAGGACAAAACACTCTGTTTCCAGTATGATGCAGAAATTAAATTCTAAAGCATGGAATAGCACAGTCCCTCATCACCAAAAATGAAATGTTTTGTTTCCAAAAGATGATGAAAGAAAATATTAATTACTTTTTTCAATCAATGCACAGGTCCAATCTATTAAAATTTACCAGAAGGTCAAACAGCGAATGGAGATTTTTATTGTGAGATTCTCAACTGCTTCTAGAGCCACATTCATTGCATGCAGCTACTATTTGCTAAACCAGGATCTTAGAGGTAATCTCCAATTGCTATGTCTGTATGAAGCAGTTTTTTATTAACTGCCAGGTTACTAATTGTACTACCCTCTATATTCTCTCATTCTTGCCTTACAAGACTTCTCTTTCCAAAACAGAATACACTGAAAAATCAGATTTTTTTAACATTTCACACATCCAAGTTATTGTGCAGGAGAAATTGAAAGCAGTACAGATGAAGGATTCTGAATGTTTCCAGCAGGTACATGAATGCTGTCAGAAACGCACTGCATTAGACCAGAGATTATTTTAAAAGCTAATGATGTATATCTATTCAAATATTTTACAACATCAGATTTCCTTAATCCTTCACTTTTCAGTCACACCTTGAATTTGATAAAGTAATTATAATTCAAAGTTTACTGCTATGTAATTTTAAAGGATAAATTAAGTATTACTTATGAAAAAAAATAGTACTAATAATCTGAATATTAAATATATATTCAGCATGATATGGAACTATATCTTAAATATGCTATTATACCATGATTTAAGGTTCATTACTAATACCAATTCGAACAGTAACATGAAAACTGACTTTTATACACTTACACGAATTTCTTCTGTACTCCTTAAATGATTATGGCTCAAGTCTAGAATTTCAATATTTGGCAGACTTTCCTGAAAAGTAAATAAGTGCACAGAAGATGTGTATATTTTTAAGCAAGCAGTTATTTAGAATGAATAAATATTTTTAAAAAAATGGCCATTTTGTTATTATTTGTGCAAACAATAATTTATCTATAATACCATAAAAATAAAAATTTAACTAATTTTTAATCATTCCACAATAGAAGAGATATTTTAAACACAGTATATACTTACGAGTGATTTATCTAAGTTTTCTAAATAATTATAAGAAAGATTCAGCTCCTTTAACTCAGTCCATACACTTCTGGTATTGTTTTCATCAACTGAACTTCCAAAAATTTCCTGCAATAAGAAGCTGTATCAGAAATGGTACTTCCTCTTACATAAACAGAAATGGCTCAGAACCTCTTATACAGTACAAAGTCCGTAATCCGGACGTCCATTATCCGGAATGATCTATAATCTGGACCTCAAAGGCACAATTTTTTTTGTATGCTTTATGCATGCGCATAATGCATTTACGCATGCGGGTTTAATGTATAACAGATGGTATAAGCTAAACTAAAATTATCTTTACTGATTCTAAGGCATTTCAGTTAATGTTGCAGATTGCACTTTTCCTTAATCTTCTAACTGGATCCGGTTTTATTATTTTTTGCAGACTGTTAGAGCAATTTTATAAAAATTAAGCTTGAACTTTTGATTATGTCAAAAAGTGTTTCCAATTCTGGAGCTGCCAAAGGATCTACAAAGCAAAAGCATGTTTCGATGTCCATCAAACAAAAAGTAGAATTGCTGAAAAAGTGGATAAAGGCATATCCACCCGAAATTATGCAAGAAGTATGACATTGGAAAGTGTACTGTATATGACATAAGCAAAAAGAAAAAGGAACTTTTTGAATTTTTTGTAGATTCCAACACCCCACTTGCAATGAATAACAGAAAAGGGTTCATTATGCTAAAAGATCATGACAAAGTTATGATTGAATAGGTCAGACAGAGTCGCAGCGAGGGCGTGCCATTGACGGGTCAAATGCTAATGGCTCAAGTCAAAATAATTCATGAAGAAATGAACTTGAACACTGAGTGCACATATTCGACAGGTTGGTTAACCAAATTTTAAAATCGCCATGGTATAAGACAATTACAAATTTCAGCTGAAAAAGCTTCAGCTGATACTGAAGCTGCTGAACAATTTGCAGATGAATTCATTGAACTCATTACTAGTGAACAATTATCTCCAGAACAAATTTACAACGCTGATGAAACTGGTCTTTTCTGGCAATAGGTACTGCGAAATACCTTGGCAACCTCTACAGAAAGGGTTCCAACTGGTGTCAGATTCCAAAGCGAGACTAACAATTTTAGCATGCGCAAATGCTGCAGGAACACACAAGTGCAAAATTTCGTAATTGGAAAACATGCATGACCTTGAGCATTTAACCCCTTAACTGCCGTGGGCATACGCCTTGCTCAGCCGATGCTTAACTGCCCCGGGCGTATATATACATCCTTCCAAAATACTATCATTTGCTTTGTGCTGCTACCCATAAAATTATTCGCAAAGCTTTAGAATGCAACACCACAATGACCTTGACAAAGTATGCGAAGGAGGATACTATTTCGAAGAAATTGGAGAGGGGTGTGTGTCTAAAGCGGTGAAAGTAATGACTGTGTGGTATTGGCTGGTGTTGTTTGAGGTAAAAGGTTTTTTTTTTTTTTTTTTCCTGTGTCTTCCGTTTTTGTTTACTTTTTGTTGTAGGTTCCAGGAATAAAGAAAGATATAACGGATGTTTCAAACCCATTTATCTTTTTTGAATTATTATTTGATGAACTGCTCGTGCTTCATATTGTTACTGAAACTAACCGTTTTGTAGACCAGTAAATGAACCAACACTTTGCAAATGAAAAATCAAGAACAAAATCGTGGCATTCAACCAGTTCAGAAGAAATATATGTTTTTGTTTTCACTAGGTATAACACTGAAACCTAAACCACCACTGGTCTAAAAATGAATTGATTGAAACTCCAATTTAGGGATATTTTTTATTATAAAAACATCATTTTTATTATACTTACATCTTTTTATTATAGTTTTACTCCAAAACATTAAATTTTGTGCATTCATGTTTTCCTTTTTTTATCTATTTGTGAAAGAAAGTAAACAGTTTTTAGAAAGCAAACTTGCACTTATTTTCTCCCTAATACATCGCATAAACTACGCGCACCTGTGTGAAAAACCGTGGCACTGGGAAATGAATCTTGTACTTTTTCCGCGGCAGTTAGGGGTTAAAGGAGTAATGATTTTCCCTGCTATATATCGCACAAATAAAAGAGCATGGATGACACAAGCATTGATGAATGATTAGTTTGAAAATCATTTTATACCCGAATTCAAATGTCGCTAATTTGGTTGGTTTACCTGATGACTCAAAAATAGTCCTGATTGTTGACAACTGTTCGGCAACTGTTCACTTAAAGTTTTAGTGAAAGATAATGTATCTGTATTATTCTTCCCTCTAAATTGTACATCTGTCATTCAGTCTATGGATATGGGAATAGTGCACGCACTGAAATGCAAATATAAAGTAGCATTTTTTAAATCTATGTTAAATTTCTTGAACAATGGCAGGACTATTCAAGATTTTTTGAAATTTTTTAGCATAAAATCTGCTGTGTGGAGCATCGCAAGATCGTGGGATGATGTGTGTCTAGCTAAGTTAAAAAATGCTTGGCATAATTTATGGCCAGCTACCATACTTCATGGTGAGGATGATGAAGATGATAGCCGCAAATTTGACGATTTTCGTGCATCGCAAACTAAAAGTGAAATTTTCCAGTTACTGGATTTTGTAAAAAATGTGAAGAAGCGGTAATAAATAAAGATGATATAGCAGAAGTTTTTCATAGCAACGACAATGCCCCAATCATCAATTAATGGACGGCGAAATATGCAGTATGGTTCTAGATCCAGAAAATACCACTTCTGATACTGAAGAAAGTGACAGAGAGGTTATTGAAAAAGAAAAAATTTTGATTGACAAGTTAGTCGGTATTCTCGACACAGCAATTACAGGTCTTGAAAAGTGGAACTTTGTAACTGAACAAGAATTATGTCTGTTTATAGATTATTAAAAGAGAAGTATTAGCAAAAAAAACGAAGCAACTTAAACAACTTACATTGAAAGAAATGTTTAATGTGTTTAAAAAAGCAAACAAATAAATATTAAGCCTTTTTTTTTTTTTTTTTGTAAAATTTTGATACCTTTTAGATCATAATTGCTCTTTATTTCAGAAATTATGGCTTCATATTTTTAATTATATAATTTCTGCATGCCATCTTACCAGATTTAAATTTATGATCTATAATCTGGAAAAAACCCTAATCCAGAATCGCTGAAGTCCCGACAAGTCCGGATTTTGTATAAACAGCACTTTGTATAAACAGCAGCAAGATTATGGATAAATCACCATTGTGTACTGCAAACCATTGATAAATAGCCAATAATCCAAACCATGAGCAATTAAATCTGACCACAGAGCTCTACGTAGGCCATGTGTTATTGTTTTATTTATATCCCATTTTCTTTTACTCCAAAAAATATTACAATTTTTTATCTACCTAAAATGAAAAAGATATATCATAAAACATATCATTTAAATCACTTAAATCTGCCCACAGAGCTCCACGTAGGCCATGTATTATTGTTCGATTTATATCCAATGTTCTTTTACTCCAAAAAATATTACAATTTTTTATTTACCTAAAATGATAAAGATGTAACATTCAAATATCATCAAATCACATTCAAATATGCAAGTATAGTCATGAAATACTATTTATCAACAAAAGCATTTGGAGGTGCAACATGAAAAGCTGTAAATGAAAGAAAAGCACATGTTCTAACAACTACAGATGAGAAAATGCTTTTTGAAGCTATACAAATTGTATGTAAGAGGTATACATGTTTGCTATGTAAATGCTTAACTTTTTCTGAATTAAAACTTGATAATCTTGGCAATGTTTAAGTAACAAGGTTGTAATAATAAGCAAGTACTTCAGAAATTCATAAGAAAATTATAAATAAGAAATTTAAATATTTTTTAAAATCTTGTTTTAGCAAGTGTTAAAAGATTATAAATGACCAAACAGAATAAAATAATGATATAAATTAAAAGACATAATTTTTTTATATACAGTGGAACCTTAGATCATGAACACTTCACTAAATATGTGGCTTAATTTGAGCTAACTTTTGACAAAGAATTAACATGAAAGCTTTCTGATAACATTGTTACTGACCGAGATTTGGAGAATATCGACATTTACATAGTCACTTGGTGCATGTCCAAAATATTTGCCAAATATCCTTATTTGTGACTTACACTGGTAAATGTCAACATTCACCATGCACTGTAATGGTGAATGTTGAATATGTCAGAGATCTGCATTTAGTTCTCCGTATTTCAGGCGCCATAAAACTTCAAGGGCGACTTAACGTTTTTGCCTGTCTTGCTGAGAGGTGCAACCAATTCCTGATGAGAAGAGTTGTTCATAACTCTATAGAGGCGTTTTCACTGCGTGACATGTAGCTTTTGATTCTAGCGCAAGAAGGGCTACTCGATATTACTCGACTTCTTAATAATGACAACAGTCATGCTTGGATATATGTTAAGCATTTAGTTTTAAATTTAGTCAATAAAGAACTTTTTTTTTTTACTTATGCATTTATACCATTTATGTCAAAATATGAAAAAGCTTAAGTAACAGAACATGTAAATAAACTTTTGAACTTAAACAATACATTCTAAATAAGAAAAGAAAATAATAGAAAAAAAAAAAAAAAATTAATTATGTGATTGAAATCTTATTTATTGCAACAACATAAAACTTTTATGACATTTTGAATTGCACAAGAGTCCCTTGCTTTTACAACTGCATTTAGTTGTGGAACACTTCCTTTTGCAGTGACAGCGTGTATAGCCTTGCCCTCTACTTCTCGAATTAGCTGCAGCTGCTTCTCTCAGTGACATTACTTGAGAAGGAATCTCATCTACGAAAAGTAACTTTTCTTTACAAATTTACGAACTGATTACAGGTATAAAGCTTGAAGGTGTCATTTCTATTATCTAGTTTATAAAAGCTGGAGTTTTATTCCAACAACAACTGCCAACACATTTGGGCCATCTATACAACCACAGTTGACATCAGGGACTTGTATTTGTACGGTGTCACTAATTTGAGCAGGAGGAAAATTTTTTTGAGGTTTGTAACATTTTCATTGCTTGCAGTTAAAGATTCTCCTTCGCGGCCAATCTTTTTATAGAAATTAACTCGTGTTGTTCAGTCTACGCTTGATACGAAGACGCGTAGGTTGCAGGTCCTCCTCAATATTTTTCTTTGGAATATGGTTTTCAGTATGGCCACTGCTCTGATTTTCTTCAAACGTATTAACAGTTTCTTCAAGCTGTTCTTCAGTTTCAAAAGTATTAGCAATTTCTTAAGAATTGTTCTTCGGTTTGAATATTTGCGATTTGTTTGCCAGGCAAAAAAGACTATGCTATGCCTCTTCTTGGTTTAATGCCAAACATAGCTTTATAAGAAGTAATCAATCCCGTGAGGACAGATGTGTTTGAAAAATAAAAACAATCGACTTCTCGTTTACTCGCAATTAATGCATTTAACTTTTCAAGGAAATGTTCACGATTCACTGCAGTATCCATTCAACATAAATTAGCATATTGGATAAAAAAACAAAATTTTAGAAAATGTTTATCAAACCTAGCATAAGACTGACAAGCAGAGACTGACAAGTTCCAGAGTATAACAAATACAATGCTATGTAACTTCAATCACAGCAGAGCAAAGGATTTAGCAACAGACAGTCGCCCCTCTGTTGAACTCGACTTCTCTTTTCGACCTCCACCACAGTATATCTGTGATTGTTGACATACACCGGTGATGGTCCGAATGTACAAGAATATAACAAAATATTCAGTCTTTCACCAATGTATTTGGTATGTGTTGACATTCACCGGTGAATGTCTTGCAAGTCACCATTTTCAATGACGAAGCATATTTCACTTCAGAAACATCTAAAAATATAAATGATGACAAATCACACTAGACAAATTTTCAGTCAAACAGAGGCCAAGCAAGTCTTGAGCAGAATTGAATAGCATTAATAGGTAAAAAAAAGAAAAAAAAAAGCCCAAAAAAAGGGATTTTAATATTTTCCATTGCTTAAATCTCATAACAAAATCTTGCAGTAAATTAACTAACAGTATCAAGAATTCAGCTTACAGATGATTGCCAGATTGTATTATAAGGCAGACTCGGGAGACTTTGACATGCAAGAATCTTTTATTACTTACAATACTGTGCCTACAAGTTAACCAAGGGATTAGAAGTTAAAAATGAATATGTACAGGAGTTACCACATGTTCATAAGAATGAATTCAGCAAAAACGAGCTGGAACAACAGAAAGAGCAACAAAAGGTGACTGTGGGCAAAATATTTTCAGAGGAAAAGAAAGCAAGAAAAGAAGATTTTTAGCTCTTTGATATCCAAAATTTGAGCAAAATGAGGTAAGATACAAAGAATGTTACGATATCATCCTGCTAAAGCTGGAACAAGCTACAGCATATCCATTTTCAATGACAAAGCATATCTCGCTTCAGAAACATCTAAATATATAAATGACAACAAATCACACTAGACAAATTTTCAGTCAAATAGAGGCCAAGCAAGTCTTGAGCAGAATTGAATAGCATTAATAGGTTGAAAAAAAATGCCCAAAAAAAAGACAGATAACGCTTTTTTTTTTTTTCGGGAGGAGGGAAAAAGAGGATTTTTTACCCAAACAGTAACATTTTTCACTTTCTCTTCCTCATTACTTTCCACTTTCGTCTTTCATTCTCTTATACAAAGACATTAAGTTAGATTTTCATCTATTCTATCAGCTTAATATTAGATTTATTTATTTACTTATTTGCCTTAATTTCTTTTGGTTTTGCTACATGAACTTATGCACTATAAGTACTTTTGTAAAATTAAAATAAGTATTTATATGTGATTCAGGAACAGATATATTCCTTTTACATTAAGTGCTACCAGAAAATTACTGTTGATTTATGAACATTTGTAGAAATCATTAGGCATTTTATTTTCGAGCAGAAGACGTGAAAATCTTTTCAATGCTCTCACAAGGGCTCAAGCTATGGACCATCTCATGCTAGCGGAATGTGCTTTCCAGTTACACCATGCACGCATGTTGTAAGGAGAGAGAAAATCTTACATTCTTCCCCACTTAAAGGTGGCTGGGGAGCCCATGATCCAGTTGCTAACTGTGATGATGACAAATTATCTGCCACCAACTTTAGTTCAGGTGCCACTTGCACAGACCATTAGGTATTTTACTTTGGAGATGGAATTGTAAAAAATGTGCAATGCATTAACCAGAACTTGAACTATGGATCTTCATAGTTGGGTGTGCTTTGCTATTACATCACAAGTGTACAGTTTAGAAGGGAGGAAAACCTTACACATTTCACCTGATAAAGGGTCTTCAGGAACAAGTTACATTCATGAATTGAGGCTTCACTATATTCAAGTCCAATTGATATTTCTTTTTAAAAAATAATTAATAAATATTAATAACAAAACATACAAAATTATTTCAACATACAGAAATGAATTACCTTAAGTAAATATATACTTCTGGTACAAATAAGGACTTTCAGTTGAACAGAAAGACTTTCAAGGCCAATTATCAAATGAGCAGGAATTTTTCTTAATTCTAGGACTGTGAGATTTGAAAAATGAGAAAGATCAACACCACCTCTCAAAGTCTGCATTCCATGAAATAACTGAAAAAAAGTGTAAAAAAAATTATAAAGTGATGATATGCTTAAAAGTTCAATATTTACTATTAAGTGGTAATTAGAAGTTCAAGCAGTAGTAGCCAGCATTTATTTTTAGAATTTGAAGTACAAGATTCAAAGATTTGACTACAAAATCTGCTTCTTCAGATGTAAAAGTGGAAAATGTAGTCGTCAATGCAATTTTTTTTTAAATTTGTAAAATACATTACATTGAAAGAAAATACATGCATGGATTATTAAAAGTGTGGGCAGTTCTTAATTCATGAGTAATAATATAGATGGCGGAATTTTTGATTAGATGGCAGATACATAATATGGAGAGATTTTTCAATTCCAATTATGAATAATGCAGTTTTTATAATTTAAAGAAACTTAAATTATAAACTTTGATATGAACTTTAATATAAAAAAAATTTTATTTTAAACAAGTAGCTTACTAATTCTTATTTGTCAACATAATGGAGCATCTGGAAATTTCTGCTGTTTTTTGATGACAAATACAAATGAAGCAGTATGAAAACATAAGAAAATTTTACTGAATCACATAAACATCATTTTTATTATGACTTTTTGCCATCTCTTTGGCAGCTGGAAAATTCCTTTTATAAAAAAAACTGTTAGGTTTTATTAGTAGAGGAGTTATCAAAATGCTGTTTGGCAGTCTTCAAAGAAGTGAACTTCAGGCAATTCAGAAAATTCTGGAGTAACCTAAAGAGATGAAAATCCAAGGGCGGAGAGAAGTCTGGTGAATATAAGGGGAGGTGACACAAAGCATCCCAAACTAAATAATTCTTGATCTGAAATTCATTGAAATGTTGGCTGAGCATTATCATGTTGGAAGAGAATACCTTAACAAGTGATTAAATCTTGACACTTTGTTATAATTTTTCTATTTTCAATATTAATAAAAGAGGTTCTTTTGCTTTATTCCATAACCTCTTTTTGGGGGGGTAATATTATTTGTATAGTACAGTACAAAGACTTTAATCCGGACTCGTCGGGACTTCGCCGATTTCGGATTAGCGGTTTTTACGGATTATAGATCATCAATTTAAATCTGGTAAGATGGCATGCAGAAATTATAAAATTAAAAATATGTAATTTATGAAATAAAGAACAATTATGATGTAAAGGGCGTCAAAATTTACAAAAAAAAAAGCTTAATATTTATTTGTTTACTTTAAAACATTGTCACGCGCGCATGCGTAAAGCATAATTACGCATAGTCGAAATTAGAAATGGCAACTAGAAAACTATTTGATGTTATTGTGATATTTAAGACTAGGAATTGATTTAAATATATCAAGACAGATAATCGAGATGAAATACACTTTAGAATTATAAGCCAAATAAAATAAAATATCTGTCCGGAGATGAGGGAGTGCCTACAGATACTGCGTCATGCGCGCCGCGACGTCCACCCCCCCCCCCCCGCAAGCAGCACGACATTGATAAACTATTTCGGATGTTGAGAAACAAAGAGTTGCTTATCCCTTTATTGCAGCAATTCCTTTTGTTTGATGAATCGAAACTGCTTTCGCTTTGCGATACAGAATGGAACTCTTTTGACATAATCAAAGTTCAACTTATTTTTTATCAATTTGCTTAAACAGACGCAAAAATATAGTCGGATCCAATTAGATATAAGGACAATCATCTGACTACTGAACTAGATAATTAGATAATTTTAGCCTAGCTTATACCGCCCGTTATGCATTAAACGCACATGCGCAAATGTATTATGTGCATGCGTAAAGGTATTATGCACATGCACGGAAAGTTTGTAGCTTTGAGGTCCGGATTATAGATCAATCCAGATTAAAGACTTTGTACTGTACCTACTTCTTATCACCAGTAATTAGCCATTTCAGGAAAAGCGCTTCTATATTTCCTTTCAGCAAAGAATTACATGCCGAAATCTGAGCAGGCATAATCTGCTCTGTTAGAGAATGGGGTACCCAATCTTCAAATGATCATGCATAATACTTTTTTTGAATATTTGTCTGCCTGTTAATTCCTGACCTGTATAATATAGATTTTCAGAGATAGCTTTTGCAACAGGTCCTTGTTTACACAACATGGACGACCAAAATGAGCACCATATTCAAGCGCTTATACTTCTTATGCACCTTAAACTGTGCCATCAGAAGCAGCAATTGGCCCATACACAGCAAATACTTTATGAGCAGTTTGGCTAGCATCAAAAGTAAAAACATAATATGACAAAAATTGGCTTTAGTTTCTTCATTCTTTGTACTGCACTGAAACAAAACGGTTGATCTTTGGATTATGGTAACTTGGCGATTTTTCGGCGAAAATTTGGCGACCAACTCTGCTACAGCAACCTTCTACTTTTTTTTCGGCGCCATTTTGTCTTCACGAAGTAAAGACATTTTATTTACTGAAAACTTTTTCCAACAATCTGCTAGCCTAAATATACTTACTAGAATTTTATGGAACAAATTGCTTAATCTGACAAAATTACTGCAAATGGGAAAAGTGCAGAATCGCAAACTCCTTGCGCGTTTTCAGATGCCACATACACAGTACCAGGTACACGGGACTTATTTTATTAAAAAAAATCCCAGAATTGCCACAAAAATGGCACTGCGCACACTCTTGACTTTATCCATGTACACGGCTTTTTGTTTTCTCATAAATTAGAACATTTGACCGAAAATTTTGTGAATCTTAAACTTGGTAAAAGATTATATATAAAATTATTTGATCGCGAAAAAGTACGAGGGCATCAGGAATAGATACGTTTCCGTCTGTGTCCGCTAGGGGCGGGGCTAGCGCGGCCATCTTGGGGTCAGAGCGTTGCGCAGCTCAGTCTGCATCTAGCCGTGCTAGTGAGAGGTTCGTGCTGTGCTCCGTTCAGATACTGTGACGGTTTGAAATGTCTGCGTTAATTGAAAATCCCGCGAGCTGCGAGGTGCGCTCAGTAATAAGGTTTCTGACTGCAAAAAACTGTAAACCGATAGAAATCTATCGGCAGCTTCGTGAAGTGTATGGGGACAACATTATCACTGAAGGTGGAGTGCGTCAGTGGGTCATAAGATTTCAAAATGGCCGAACCAATGTTCACGACGAAGATCGAAGTGGGAGACCCAGCATAGTGACCGCCGAACTTCTCGAAAAAGTCGATGCTAAAGTCCGTGAAAATCGAAATTTCACAATAACGGAACTTTCTTTGAGTTTTCCACAAATTTCGCGAAGTTTGTTGCACGAAATCATCAGCGAAAAGCTTGGTTACCACAAGTTTTGTGCAAGATGGAAGGCAAGAAGAGGTAACGAAGTGGTTGAAGGCGCAGGCGGCCGAATTTTTCGACGAAGGAATTTCCAAGCTCGTACATCGCTACGATAAATGCCTTAATTTGTATGGTGACTATGTAGAAAAGTAGTATTTGAGTGTGGCTTTCATCTGTATATAATAAAATTTGTTTCCTATACTTTGTTATTTTTTTATTCCAAACGTAATCTACTTT